AATGTTCCACTGTTCTCAGACGATATTGGATCGAAACACAGGGATGCAAAGTGAACGTAATTGAAGCACAATTCTTCGAGGGATCGGTTGAAATTTCGAGTGGGGCTGTACGGATACATTAACCCGCTCACTGCATCTTTCTGGTATCTTGTACAAAATTTTCTTTCTCCGTAAAATCAAGAACCAATAGTTATTATTTATTACATTTTTTAACTAACATCTTTGCTTTACCGATTTGAGATAAATGTGTCAATATGGTGGGTATGGAGACACTAAACATCGATTCCAATCCACGCGTAGGGAATACCAGGGACAAACGTAATAATTCATCTTTTTGAGTCTGTAATCGTTAAATGTAGAATATTTCAAAAAAATTTGTACCCGATGACAACCTTGATTACTGGATAACACAATCGAACGTAAAAACTTTGAACAAAATTTGGAAAGATTGTTTTTAAGAAAAGAAACTTCTTCAAAATTTTGTTAACGTAAGTTTACAGTGTCTGTTGTACCATTAAATTTTTGTTTGAAAAATCGACAAAAAAAAAAAAAAGAACAAATCGACTGGAAGAATACGTCGAGGTAAGTCGTCGATTCTCCAGTCGTGCAGGTTCGCAGAAACAAGACTGTCACCAACAGTTTCGTCGGTTCTGCATACATCTACATTACAAAAACGAATGGGATTAAGGGGAGGGCGAGGAAGATAGAATCCTCGAGCGCGAACGATTCTGTCGAACCGGGAATGCAATTCGCGGCAGTGGTGGTGGTGGTCGGGTCTCAGCTCGAGTCGACAGATAGATAGAGTCAAGATTCAATTAGCTCTAGCTGTCAGCTGCATGATACTCGTCGATTCAATACACCTTTCCCGTTCGTGTGCCACCCCCCACCCTCTCCCTCCCTCCGGCACATGTTTCCGCGCGATCCTCCGAAGATCGTGTGCGTGCGCGCGCGTTCGATTCTCTCGTACGTTTCACGTTAAACCGTGCACACGCGCGCGCGTTAGTTGGAAATTCGTTGAGGATGTTCCCCGCGAATTTTGGGAATGATCGCGCACGAGACCGTGTATAAATTAATCGACGACCCTCGATTTTCGAATAGATACCAACCTTAAGAACAGTTCCGATCACAAAAGACCCCCGTAGTCTGCAAATAACTTTTTTTTTTTTTAATTCTCTGTAATACGTTATGTACGCGTAAAGCGTCAGTCCGTTGAATTGAATTCGTTAATTCTCCGCGGCGGTTTCGATTACCAACCGTCGAGAAACTGCGCCCTTTTTGTTCTGCATTACAATTTCCCTCCGTCGATCGGCTCGAATCGGGAAGTGTGGGTGGGTGGAGGGGGAGGGGAAAGCCGTTTGAATGCGCGTTTCGAATACGCGCGCGTAAAGAATACCAACCTACCCGGTGAAATTCTGTGGCGGCCGGGTTGTACGCGTGTGTAGGTGATATAGGTATCACTTATCCGAGAGCAGGGCGATACCAGCCATTTTCAATTTATTTCAAGAGCCTTTTCGCGGCGGAGAAAAGAAGGGTGACTATATACAAATATACAGGGTGTACCACGAAACGTGATCAGGTTAGATTATTCTACTGCTACCTGTTCGATCAAAACCATTTTTGGATGCTTAACAGTGCAGACGATACAAATAGAATACGCAGTCCATTCTTAACCCTTTACGTGAGTGTATTCCAGCTGATCGACACCATTTTGAATATTGTTTTAATTAAGGTGAATGGTATTTTCTTAATGTTTCTTTTTGGTTTAGAAGAAAAAAATATATTTACGATTCTTGCCCAATTCGGCTCAGTATCTGCTGAAAGATGGGCGTAAAAAAATTACAGCTCTACCTATAAAAAAACTGAAGGTGACCGTGAAAATTCTAGGGAGAAAGGGGTTGATAAAAAAAATTAGTACATCGTCTTAAAGCCTTCCTTAAAAAATTTCGATCCAACAGCTAGTTGTAGAATAATTTAAGTTGATCACATTTCGTGGTCCACCCTGTATATATACCACGACTGCCGGCAGAGAGATACCCTATACAACGACCTTCGACCTCCGCTCCACCACCTCCGACCCGTCTCGATCCGTAGGCCACTGCCAATATAGCTGTATCCGGAGTCTGATATTAAGATATTAACCCCTGGTCCACCGACACTGGGTCTCATCTTTGTATTTTCGATGTAACGATAGTACATACGTATGTAAAAATCACTGTGCATAATCATTGCGACATCGTAAAAGCATTATAATAATTCATTAAGAAATTTCCCCAATAGAGCTCGTTTTCGTAATCTCAATTATTAGTTTTTCCATCTTGTACTATAAAAAAGTGTCTTGGCTTAAGCTACAGTGAGAGAAAAAAAAGTGAATTAGTATGAATTGATGATACACTATTTTAGATATAGTACTAAGCTAAAGATTATTTAATCGCAATAATTTAAATTGTTATTAATATGTAATCTAACGGATATAAATTTTCCCTTAATGTGTGTGCGTAATGTTACAGAAAAAGATATTGTTCGATTCAGTTCAGTTTTCCCTCGATACGATTTGTGTTTAATATATTTCCTCTCTATCACCTTTTCGTATGTAGTTAAATGATACTCGCTCTCCGGATAACACATTACGAAATAACGGTCGAGTAACCGCGGCGGGGTTGAAAACCATTTCAAACGGCCCGCTTGAAAAGCCTTCCGATATTTTTGCCTCGTTAATTTCTTCCACGAACGTGCTCTCGAAAAATACACAGATAATACATGTGCTCTCACGAAACTAAACCCCCACAAGTGTGTATAAAACGCAGCTTGTAGAGGAGAGAAATAAAAGCGCGGGAAAAGCGGTATTTTTCGAAAATACATATCTTTGCGTACGCTTTATTCCATACATACTCTCATTTAAACCGTCAAGACGTAAAACTGATGTCTGCGTTTCGACTCTATTGACGTGAACAGTTCACTGCATACATTTAATCTGCATTCTGTTGCGACACAAAATATATCAATCGACCCTTTACGTAATTTTTTATCAACATATCTCTATGGTGGAAACGGGTTCATGTGTTCTGTAAATCGATTGAAATTTATTAGTATTGAACTTAATCGCATGCCTGCTTCCAGGTTGCTTTGCAATGAAAATAGTTGTGGGACAAGCTATAGTGAGAGAGAGTAGGATGGAAGGCGAATGCGTGACAGAGAGAAAGAGAGGCAGCGCTAGGGCGTTACGGCCGCGGAATTATTGAACCCCATTGCAAATGTGAGAGAACAGTCGGTAAAGGGGAGAAGGGGACGAGCGAGAGGTAACGCGATAGGTGGATGGGAGTGAGAGAGTTGTAAAAATGACGCAGTTAATTAGCAGCAAACCACTTTGGCGAGCTCGAGCTCAGTGCACACACTGTAATAAGCAAAGAACAACTCGCGGGCAAAAAAACGCCCTCGAACGCGAGGCAACTGAAACGCGCCAAGGCCCAGACTAGTCGTTCTCTCTCTCTCTCTCTCTCTCTTTTCGTTTCTGTTTTGCTTTTCTCCTGCTTCCTTCTTTCTACCCCCTCTCCTCGCCCCCCACACCTACCGTCAGTTCGACTCGCTCCTTCGTAGCGTACTGTTTCCTCCTTTACCGGTTGCTCCTACCGAGTCGACCATAAACAACGGACGTTTTAACAATTTCGCTGTTGCGCGCTGCTTCGTTGCTCGTTGTACCGAGAGAAAAAACTCCGGGTCACACCTCTTTCTCGCTGCGAGCTACGCTGTTTTTTTCTTCTCTTCCACGAGAATGGTTAACGCGCTCGCGGGGCACTTTAATTGCCTGCTGACCGTTTACCGTGGATCTGGAATAACTTTTTTGTTTTTGGTAATGTTAACCCTTCAACGTACCCTGGCAGATGGTCGATGATTGTACTGGTCAGTAATATTGATGACAGTGACGAGTACGTATCGTTATAATACAGTATATTCATTCAGTCCACTGACTGTCCTGACATTACGGAACCATTTGTAACGCGACAAACATCGTAAGTACGATACGAAAAAGTTTTCCCGAAAAGAAAGGCACGCGAGAAACGTGGACGACAAGAGCTGTCACGTGCACAATCGCGAAAGATAGAAAGATTCACGCTCGAGAGGGGGAACCCCTTCCATGACCGCAACCCTCTTTCTGCCCATGACAATGGTCCACCAGGAGGAATTGAATTGGCAACATCAGTAAACGACGCCTGAGTTGCCGGCGCGAACCACCGAAAAGGAGCAAAGAACGTGAAGGAGCAGGGTGGAAAGTGAGTGGAAGGGGTTTGCAAAAAGAAGTGGGAGAAAGAGAGAGAGAGAAAGAGAATAGAGTCGCGTTTCACGCCTCGTGGATTTCAAACCGTTTGAAATCCAGGTGGAAATAATACAACTTTGCGTTCCTTGTTAAAGATCAAAGGGAACTTACCCCAATCTCAATTTCGAGGTCCTCCGTTTCTCTTTCTCCGTCCCTTCTATCCCTTTCGATACATACAACCACGCGCAAGACGCTTGATATCCGTGGACTCTATTCAAAACCATTTACGAATAGCATCGCATTGTTTTCCCCGACACAATTGAAACCCTTTGTCTCAAATATATGGATATGAAGTTCTATTTTTATTTTTCTTAGAAATATAACTGTGCGTACACTGTTTATTAAACTACTGACTAGTACTTAAAAGTTTGGAGACAAGCAGAATTGAGGAAAATAGAGGGTTTTGAAATAGATAATTGTAAAAAAATGTTTATGTTTTCTGGATCCAAATAGAACACTGAATGAAACATTCTCTTTTTTGAAAGACAGTTATTTAATTACATACTATTTCAAATAGAAATGTTAATACGATTTCAACATGAATTACTAACAAATGTAAATATAGTTTGGCTATAGAGAAAATATATTTTTTAATTGGAATGAAATTATTATAAAAATGTGCATTATATGAAACAGTGATGAAGGGAAATATATAAATGAAGAAATGTATATATTCACTTGCAAACTATTATTTTTCTTATTTTCATCATTTTATTTACAAACAAATTGATAATTATATACTTTTGACTTTCTTCCGTTCCCTGTATAGAACCACAGATCTCACTGTAAACATACAAATCGTCTAGTAAGTGAAAAATCCTCGAGCACCTTGTAGAAATTCTAATTACTGTAACCATTATTAAAATTCACGTAAGCTTAATAGTGTAGACTTTATGAAAAAATAGTTGAGTTTTAAAATCTAATAGTATTAACTATTAAGTTTGAATGTTGTCACATGTTCTTTATCAGTTTATGAAACTCAAAATTTAAAATGTAATCACAATGTACCATATGGATCAAAACGTTCCAGTTCCAACTTATCAGCTAACCTTTCCCTTCTTAATACATATTTGTGTCCACTGGCTATACTTTCCATCAATACCAAAATGTATCTGTAAACCAAAAATGTAGTTCTTAATTGTTATACATATGAATTACTCAATAGCAAGCATATAAGCAGAAACGAAACTGAAAAATGTCAATCGTTTGATTAATACCTTTACATGAGTTATAAAACAGGAATAAATTCAATAATTTCACTGAATGTACACTAACCTAACATTTATATTTAAAAATGAATTATTTGTTGATTTTCGTATACTCACTTGCTCTTAGCTTTTTTAAATAATATGTTTGTTAAAAACATGGTTCATGGATTTGTTTATATCAAATTGAATGCTTAAAATCAAACACTTTTCGGAACGCTCACAGCAAACAATTACTCGAAAGAGGTTATCTATAAAACTTTGAACAGGAATTGACATTTTAATGTAGCGAGCTTCTTTACCATTAATCGAATAGGAAGAAAATTGTCTATTAAGCATTATGTATGTAAGTACATGTACTGTAACACTGGCAGCATACATACGTAATTCGTATTTTGTGTTTATATTAGATGCTTATATAAATACTAGTTTCTTAGATATTTATTAAAAAAGAATTCTAATAAGAGACTCAGGGATAATATTGTAAAATAAGTATATTTGTACGACATTTTGTAGAAGCAGCTTGTTAAACGTAATTCAAGTATACAATTTGTTATAATTTTATGTAAGGAAAACAACAAAGATTCGAGTTTTTTTTTTATATTTCTGAAAGACTGTATTATCATTACATAATACGAATTACCTTCAAAAAATACTACAAACTCGATCGGAAACGAAAATATCGCTTGGTGCAGGGTCACTTCACTTACAATTATGATATGCATAGAGAACGAAATATGTACTGTAATGTTTAGGAGAATCTAAATCTATATTATCCCTATTGAATCAGAACTAAACTATTCTACCGAATAAAATTCATTGCAAGTATAATTAAACAATACAGTAAATTATAGCAAATGCAGTAATATACTTAGAAAAAAATTGCCATCGTAATTAATAATAATTCGCATACAGATCATAAACTGAAGACAAAAAAGAATCATCTGTTTTATAGTATACAATCCATATCATGTGGATCTTACTTTATCATTGGCCATAATTTCTAATCTCTTAATCACCTTACCAAGATCAACTTCTTTTTGCAACTTCAAGTGATCTACTTTTCTTACGTTGTGTATACTAGTCCATGTAGGTAGTAATTTACATAGCAGACGTATATGTTCTTCTAATTCGTTGGGACTTAATTTCGCCTTAAACGAATTTTCTAATTTTTCAACCACGAATTCCATAGCCAGTACTCCCTTTTTCTCGGCTACAAAAATGTTGCGCAGAATCTTGCTCAGTTCCGGAAGCCTCGAATACATCGCGGCTTTTTTATTAGCGTCCGGTGTACGTGTCATAGCTTCCAATGCTTTAGCTGCCTGTTTTGCTCGAACCTGACATACAAAACACGTTGTTAAAAAAGTTCAAGAAAAAAATGAGTGAAAAAATAACTTATAACTACATAAATATTTGGAATAAGATCTACGATCATATGACATTTTTTTATTTCCTCATTTAAAGGATTTACCTTCTCTAGAAGGGACTTCGGTATGCCTTTAAACGCCACACTAAGGTAGCTACTTTGCGTGGTGGGTGTAGCGGGCGGTGTATCCACAACGCTGATATTAACTTTCCGCAAACCATCTTCAGTCTCTGTTGAAGCACTCTTTTCATCTTTCTCTGGCGATGCCTTCGAAGTCATCTTCGCATCAGCTAACCGTTGTAATGCTTTCTCCATACGAGTACCACAATTGAACAACGATTTCGCTTTGTCTAAAAAATTCATTTATTATCAGTATAACTCAACTATTTGAGAAGAGTGAATATTATCTAACAAGTGCGTAATGCTAATCTTACCAAGAACATCCTTTGCTGATGTTAGCTTTTCTACGTTTGGTGGCTGTGGCAATTCAGATTGTTCCATTAATTTGCAACTCTCAATATCGAACTCGGGATGCCAACGTAGTATCTTTTCCTTTGGTACACGCATCGGCGTCTCCAAACTGAGTAAGAATTTCTCGTGCTCGTCTTTTACTTTATCTGTAACAAAACAATAAGGTATTGTAGAATGATAGCTGAAATAAAATTTCGACATTTACTGCGAACCGTTATTACCGAGCAAAATGTTGTAGAACTTCCTTCGTCTATCCAATAATACTTTCGGTCCCATACTAACTGCAGCAGCTGTTTTCAAGACATCATCTGCGTCTGGTGTGTTTCTTCCACTCTTCTCTTCAACAACTGGTGAAAGAACTAGCTCGTATTTATCTTGTTTGGATGTAGAACCAAATGTGCGATGCTTTTCCTGATTATAGTTGTATGCATTTGGATAAATCGTTTTGATTTGTGCTAGATGTTCCAACGTAAAGTTTTTACGTAATAGTTCCTGAACTGCAGGCTTTAACTTCTTGAAAGTTATTATTTCCTTACGATTGAAGAGCATTGCAGAAACCTGTGAACAGATTACATTTTATGTATAACATGAATGAATTGAGTTTATAAGGAACAGTAATTGTATTAACTATTTTTTTTTATAATAGATAAGTACCGTATCTACACATCTAAATGCTTCTGCTAAAAATCGGTAATTGTAAGGCAATGGTAGAGCAGGTGTGCCACTTTCAGCTAGTGACAGATACTGCTGATAAGCTGGTGCTTTAGTCGGACTACTCTTCACTGGACTGGGAGTTGATTCTTTAGGTTCAAACAAAATTCGTTTCTGAGGACTAGCTGCCAACAATTCCTTATTCTTCATGGGACTCAACCTTATTTTACTTGGTGATTTGTATGCTTTCTGTGGACTGTGAATTATAGAAGCAAACATAAGTAATATGAACATAACAAAACATAAATTCTTTTCTCATGATAAATATATTACCTGACTGGTATTTCAAGCTGAATCTTCTCAAATTTCTGTATCTGTGGTTTCTTGACTTCATTCTGTTTCTGTAGTTTCTCCAACTTTTGTTCACAGTTCCTGAACCTAGCAATAGATGCCTTTAGTTCCATCAGCCTGGCTGACTTGTTGATTCTATTTTTTATCTCGGTTAGAGACAACTCTTGCTTTGCCAGTCTATCCATAGTCGACTCTTTCTTCGGTGTGGTACAATTAACTGCAGACTGCACATTTGAGATGTCTGTAGAAGCAGTATTCTTCTTCGGTGTACCTGGAGGCTTCTTCTTTGGGCTCAGTGTTCCTTTCTTTTCAAATAGCACCTTGTTAACGTCCAAGTCTTCTGCAATCTTCTGGAAGCTATCTCGAATATCTGTTTGTCCCTCTTGTCCAGACAACTTCCTCGAGCGTACAGCTCGAGGTTTAGCATTACTTTTTGGCGTTTTTTGTGCATTTGCCTTGGGGGAATCGAATTGTATGTTCCGAACGGCTGAGTTGGATTTCACAGTACGACTACCCACCAACTCTTTTCCTGGGACTAGTACCACTTTCGGACTTGTGCCCATGGTTTCGTCTTCTCTGATCGGAGTCAGTGACCCAGACGACTCGGAACAATCTTTATTTAGCGAATTCCGATTTTGATTACTCACCAACCTCGATTGATCCCGTTCAAGAAGTAACACCTTTGCTTTGCTTCGCAAATCGTCAGTTGCTTGTCGTTTACGCGTATTAAAATACGCCGTTACTGATGGCTGAGACATGTTTTTATATACGTATATATATATATGTGTGCTGCAGAAGTCCGTTAAGATTTTTTAAATTTCCGAAGCTTTATTTGCGGACCTCTGCTCCCTGCGTTGATTCTCAGTGATCTCTATGGACGATAATTCACGCCTAAAAGCCCGCCTTTTTTATCAGTTTAGGCGCCAGATCGAAAAGAACAGCTGCTGCGTCAACGGTAAAAGGCCCGCTAAATTCGAATGCGATGTCCGGTTTACGTGTCCCTACGTAATTACAGTATATTTAAAATGCAGTATTACTTAACTGTAAGATTAAAAACTAGTTTTGGTGTTCGTACAAAGGGCGACAATTGATACAAAAATTTGTCATGGAAGTAATATAAAATGTAACAAAAGAGTTATAAGTAAAAAAAATTATATATTTTAATTAATTAAGACACAGTACTTTATTATTGTAAAAAATTGATAAAAATCTTTATGGGCAAGAAGTACTTTCAACAGGAAAGCAAATTCTTCTTCAGAGTTACAAACACGACTCCATTATGCCTTGGCTTCTTTGGCGCCAATTCGTCGTTTCATAATTACATTTGAATAATTTCTATGTAAAAATTACTTTACATGAATGAAAATTTATAATCCGTATATTTTATATATACCAACTACGAAGTGTACGTACTTTACGTTGTTATGTCATATGATAATTGCAAAACTGATCAAGTATAGTCATGCACGTGACAATATTTCGGATCTTGAAATGTTCCGTATTATAGAATCAAAAATAAATTGGCTAGGCTCTTCATATTTAAAAATAGTTTTCAGCTAAGTACAACAGATTCTTGAGTACTCAATGCTAGAATTGACTCTTTTAAAAATTCCATTGCTTTTCCAAAATTGTGTGATATACATGTGCCAAGACCTCGTGTACTGAAAATAATAGTGATTGACGATATTTAATATTAACTTTATTTTTATTTCTACAAGTTTTATCGCCGTTATGAATTTAATTTAAGTTTTTTTTAAACCAATACAACTGTAAGTAAGCGAACTGTAACGAAAAATGTGTAGGTTATAAGTTCCATTTGTTTATCTCTGAATATTATTTAACCTAAAAATTATGTTAAGTGCTATACTTGCTTTTCAGATTATGAACGTTACTAGAAGTATGAGCTCGGTTCTCACCAAGATACATATTATCAAAGAACTATTATTTTCACCAAAATATTTACTTTACACAAATGTGGGTATATCTATTTCTCTCTCTGGTACGGGGGATATATTAGAACAACATTATGAAATACTAAAGGTACATGGTCAAAATTCTGATACTATTTATTCATTTTTAATGTAAGTTTAACTTTCTATTGATTCTTCCTTCTTATCATAGGGTGAGTGGGATAAATTTAGTATAAATAGAACCAGAAATATGGCTGCATCTGGTATGTCAGTCGGTGTAGTATGTCATTATTGGTACAAATACTTAGATGCTAAGTTACCAGAATGTACACTTAAAGTAGTTTTAAAAAAAGTTGTTATAGATCAATTAGTCTGTTCTCCACTTTGCATAACAATGTTTTTTTTATCATTAGCCATTTTAGAAAAAAGCAGCTGGTCTGAATTAAAGAATGAGATTATTAGGAAAGCACATAGATTGTATATAGCCGAGTGGATTGTCTGGCCACCAGCACAGATTTTCAATTTCTATTTCTTACCAACTAAGTATAGGGTACTCTACGACAATACTATATCACTAGGTTATGATGTTTATACTAGTCAGGTAAAACATGACAATCCAAAGTGCAATTTGAAAAATGTTGACTGACATTGACTAACTTTAGCTAATATAGGATAACAATTCTAAAACCAAATATATTTGATACTAGAAGCAAATTTTATACAATTGATTTACATTACAATTGTAAATAAAGAATATATGGGAATGTATAAAAATACAATATTAAACTTTACTTTCGAATTGTTTATTTTTCTTATTATAGAAATAAATAATGTAAAGAATTTAATAGATTGATTTCTTGTATATTCCGTGTTTTATGAAACTTTGGTGAAAGAATATTACAAAATTATGTGCTTATTGTGTATAATATTTACATATTCTGCAAAAAATGTTTCGAAAAATATCACGTTCAAAACATTCCATCGTGGATACCTATTGGTACAAGGATTGCAATAAATAATAACAAATTACGAGCGACCAGTCTCCAATCATTTGGTACTGCGTACGGTGCCAGAATCTGGGTCAATCTATGTATCTGATAAAGTAAACAAAACATTGTTATGTTCCACTAAACCGTAATACACATTTGAAAAGTGGATACTTACTTCGTGACTCGCGCATATAAAGATAAATGATGTGACTAATAAATTTAATACTGGAAATCTTGGTAGTAACACTAACACACCATGTGAATCTGCTGCTAGCCAGATATGGCCCTGTGCGACTAGAGTTTCTAAACTGATTCGTCCTAAACCAGCCAAGAGAGCTGAATGTTTACTGCGCAATGCTAAAGATGCATTTCTCAGTGCTATATATCCTATAATCTGCAATAAAAAGTTGCTTAATTCTAATATCCTGAAACTGATTTGTATTTATAGATGATTACCGGTATAAACGCCACGTATGAATGAATTTCTTCACACTCCGATACTGAGTGACACAGTATAGTGAATGTAGTATAAGCTGTTAAAGAAATCAGTGCCAGCACAGAAGATAACGCAGTTCCTGGAATGTGATCTATCCTTTGCAAAGCAACAAGACCCGCTCCGAAAGTTACACCCCATGCCACACTGTATCTGTCCACCCTCCAACGTGACCACCATTCACGTATGTCATCGTCTGTTGTTACAAACAGTGCTTTCCAAGGTCTTGTTACAAAAACTTTTTCAAAGAACACCTATCACATTATTGTACATCACATTATTATACATGTTTTGTTACAATACGAATTTCTATGTACTAGAAAAGTTATGATTCAGTACCTCCGAAACGTATAATATAGTAATCATCGAAACAAGGCCTAAAAGTTTCAACGCAAGATAGAGTAAAGCTCTCGGGCCGTATTCGGTTAAGCTGCCGGAATATATTCTCGGTGGCAACCATGCTAAGAAATAGATGACTAAAAACCAGAACGAGACCAATGGAACGAAATGATAAAATTGATACGGTCTGTTCATACAAAGACACAATGAGACTGTTAAAAAGTTCAGTCTAAACATTACCTGAAAAATAACGAACATATATATACCGTCGTATCCGAAGTTCCTGACGGCTTTCTAATACACTTACTCTAGTAAATCTAACAAGAGAAACATCACCGGTCTGCCAAAAGTAACAGAAATGTCCATATCCAGACAGAAATAAATATGCAGAGTTGATTAATCTTAAGTACATATAGATAGGTAAGACGTTCTTGGCTCCAGTGACATGGTATATTAAAACCACAGCTTGCATTAACCCTCTCCACTCGTCTGTTTGTTCCCGGTTCAAAGTCCTTGGTCCTCTTTCTCTATCCTCGGTGAAAAATAATCCAAGAGCCAGTATATATCCGAGTGGTAACCAGAAACTGAACTCGCTATAATATTTATTCTCTTTCATGAAGAAATTTGTTCTGAATGTAACAAGAGGACACCATATTTACAATTACAAGTAACATTGGGTATTAATGAAAACAATCTGAACATACCTATCGCACAAGTAAAAGTAAGCTAAAATGATGGATAAAAGAGCCAAGGACGTCATCAATGTATAAAAGTCTTGTACTTCAGGTTGTTCGATCTGCATAACTTCAGAAGTATTTGCTTCTTCAATATTCTCCAGTTCGGTGGTGGTGACGCGTAGATAGGATATTTCGGTCCGATACTGACAAAACTTTCTGTACAACCACATTCCACCACCAATTATTATACTGCAACGAGCTACTAGTTATTTCCTGTTTAATAAACGACATAATATCATATAAGAAATTACCATAGAGCCAGACCAGACAAACTTAGTAATTGTAACGTTGTCGCTGGTTCTGGATAACTACAACAGCTACCATCATCGAAGTTCATATGATCATTGCAGTAAGTGTTTAATAGTATTTGAACTTTGTGTCTTAAGGACAGAGGACTAGCCAAGTATCCGTCTGGACTTTGTTCTAAAACACCTGTGCCAACGAGTTTACTGCTTTCCCATAAATTTACTTCGCTATGGGATAGTATCTGCATATAGTCAATGTATAAATAATTTACTTCTTTCCACAATGATTACTATGATATACTCTAAACGACGATTACCTTTACTGCTGCCTTATTGCACAAATTGATCTGCTTATTATCTATACCCGCTAACTGAGCTGGTAATCTTTCTTTCAACACAGGATCCTGTAGCACCCATAAAAATCGTGTATTCTTTTTAGATAAAAAATCTACTGGCTGTACAAGCCTTACTAATCCCATGTTGTATTCAGAATACAACTGAGTATCGCTATTATTGTTTGCAAGAATTGTCATAGCTGCATTGCCTGCAACAATCAAACTGGGTGCATCAGATTTCTAGAAAAAAGAAAAAGAACAACACAGTTGTTAATACACATGTTGAAAGAGTCTCACAAATTATAGAATACACAAATTACCATCCAGCCTCTGAGATCTTCTATCATAGAATTGTCCAATCGAGGTCTCCATAAAAACTGTACATTTAATCTAAGCTGGGCATCATTGAAATTTAAATCTGAATTTTGTGGTAAATCTGTTAAATCCGATGACTTTCCATCTACTATAAATTGTGATATAAAAGACTTGTACAACTGCCTGATTCTATCATCTCCAATGAGTGCAAAATGATTCCGGTGGCCCATGAAAGCTAGATACCTCAAGCATCTTCGACTGTCTCTGTGTTGGAAAAATTTGGTTGAAATTTTTTTTTCTTACTGCTTAATATATGCCATGGAAATTAAACTCTTACGTTTGGGTGTAATAATGCATCATACAACCATGAGGTTGCCATTCTTTATCCCCTTTGTATCTTCCTTCTGTTAACAACCACTTACAGGAATCACTACCTACAAAAATTAATTAGACTAAATACTGAGCCTTAAATTTACAATGTCAATGGCAACAAATAATATGAATTCAGAAGGAAGGTTAAACGGATGTTTTACCATAAATAAGGTGCATTAATCCATGATACAGAATAAAACATAAGACAAGTGCAGTAGCCAACTTTTTAGCACTTGCTACTGTGATTAAACTAATAAAGTGTTCCGCTGAAGTCATGAATATTTTGTTGTTGGGTTACATTGACTCTAGAAAAGAAATTCATATTTTAGCAAACAATTACATTTTTTTTATAACACCTAATCAATTAACAGGAGACATGAAGACTACATTAAAATGAATTTATATTAATTTTGTACACTTTCTTACATAAACATAGTCACCTATATAAAGTGTTTATTACATTCACTGAAATCGCACTTTAGCAAATGTTACATCGTGCATAAATATATCATTAATATCTCAGTTTCACTGTCAAATCACAAAATTTAAATAGTACCAACTTCAAAACTGTTGGAGATAAAATATGTTAATAATTTTATATAAAATATCTGCAAGCACAGTTCGCACAGTTCGTACTTGTAACGGTCCCGGCTACTTCTACCCCTTCTACCTAATAACGCATTGCAAACGCAACAGAAAACATAGAATCTGCAACACGATCGATTTTTCAATTGGTTGTTTAATTTGCAGTTTTCAAAACTACGACAGCCGCACCACGAAAGAATTTCAAAAATAACGAAACGGTTTTGTTTTGATTTGTTTTTACTAAAAGATTACTTTACAATTTAAAATCGTACCAAAATATCTCCAGCAACATAAAAAAGTATATGCTGTTTTGTCAGTAAATCCCACGTAATTTATTTGGAAACTGTACTTTATTCTATTTAATACAAGTCTTCAAACGGGGGTATTTTAAATCGATAAGCACGTTATTTCTGTTTTTATCACTTTGATAATGATAAAATCGAGATAATTTAATGTCTCGACAATTTCGAATGAGTAATAAAAGTGATTGAACTGAATGAATAACAGACTTCCATATCTATTTATATTGCACGAACTACATAAAGTGTTCGTTAACATTTTCTATATCGATACTATTAATTAAAAATGGTAGATAGTTGCCTTTCTTAAGTAACCCTTAATTTTTTTAAAGAACAGGCATTACAGGAAAGTAAGGCACCATGTCTGTGGTGTCATCCATGGCAAAAGTATACTAACTAATCAGTTAGTAGCTTGGGCATTCTTTTGTAGGTGGCACCGCGCATTATTTTTACCAGTTCTGTATCTATAAAACATGTAAACATTAATTGAAAATACGTTATCTGAGAATTATAGATACACAATATTGATTCAGGGTGTCACAAAAATTGATCTAATAACATCGAAAACAAATATAATGGTCATTATATATCGTCGAGTAAGACAGCATGAGAAAAAAAGAATTAATTTCAATCATTAAAATCGATTTAGGCAGCAACAGATTTTATGAAAACAGATAAATAATAAAAGTTGCTTTACTTTAGGCTGCAATGTATAAGCAAATTTACATGATTTTACCTATTTTCGAAAATAGAATGAAATTATATAAAAATTTGTTTCACTGATTTTATTAGGTTAAGAATAAAACAAACGCTATGTTAAATTTTTTATTCAATTATACTTTCTATACTGGAATATGTTGTACATTTATAATTAGACTGTGGATATTCATTCAAAACTATAAACTAATTTAGAAAAACGTAAAGTACATATATATAATAATAAACACAAAAACATCAATTTTAACAGCGAACAGGTTTGTTAATGTTAAAACTGTACTAAAATTTGAATTACTCTTTGTTAAAGGTTTTATTTCCTTGAATTGCACATTCTTTGTTTATATTCAAGATTAAAATGGAGTAATAAGTTTACTATAATTTATTAGAGTCTGCATGTAATCGTGTTCTCATTTACAATCTATTTATGATCAATCCAATAATACAAGCATCCCTTATATCTTATAGTATTCGTAAAGGGGTAAGAAATGCATGTTATAAGGCGCTTCGATACGTGGGCACGGCTGTCAAAGTTTGACTGATTGACGCGGCGACCCTACTACGACGCCTCAAGACTGTTGTGTACGACCGCTAATTTTTTTTTTTCAACACAATATAACACCGTACGAAATTTTGGGGGAAAAGAAATGCGAAACGCTATTGTCGGGGCGGCATTAGATTGTTGAGCCATGGAATAAACAAAAACGAGCGATCCATGAAAATTGCAATGAACGACGGCTATATTTTTCAATGGAGAGCGACATAACGACAATGGCGGCAATGTCCCCGTCGAAGGTAAGTTAATATCAAAGCTCCTTTAATGCACGCGTATATCCGTACATCTTTACGTTACGGCGAGATATGAGATCGAATCGAGACGCTAAACACCTGATACGATCTAAAACACCGAAAAATGTCGCACTTTTTATCAACAAAATAAGCATATCAAGTCGCGTGTCACTCGTCAAAATTCGGATGACGTTTTACGTCAAGCGAGACGCGCTACCCTTTAGTACAAAATGTATTGTTACGGGTTCGATGAATTTTTTTGGCATGTAGGATTGTTTATTAGAAATAGGTTAGTTTAATATAATTTATTATGTTATGTTATAGATAAAAGTGTTCAAGGAGAATATAAAAAGTTATAAAGGGCAAATATGACATAACAAAACATTGTTTTCATGATCATTTATTTACTTTGCTATCAATGCTAATAGTATTTTTTTTAAATGGAAAAGAATACATTCCTTTTTCTTGTACGCATATCTCTTGGAGTAAGACAAATGAAATGATCAAGGATACACTGACATTTTTTTTATTATTATTGTACCTGAATTTTTCAATGGTGATTCATTCATTCTTCTTTGTTTGTGATTTGTGTGATTTAGGTCAAATAAATTGAAAATATATCAGTTTCACTCATTTGTATAATTTACTATTAAAAGAAGAAACTGGTATGATATTGATCAATGGTTAAAAGACAGTTACTCAATGTAAAAATGCATTTATTCATTATAATTGCCAATTAGTAATTTCATACACTTAATGCTGAATAGTATATTTTTTAAATATTGTTTCAGCGGAGGCTCCAGAAGGAGTTGATGTCCTTAATACGTGAGCCTCCACCAGGTGTACGTGTGGATGGAGATCTTGCTGGTCAGAATTTAACGCAATGGATTGTCCACATGGAGGGTGCAAAGGGCACTTTATATGAAGGCGAACGGTTTCAGCTACAATTTAAGTTTAGCTCTAAATATCCGTTTGATTCGCCAGAAGTAACTTTCATAGGTGGAAACATACCAGTTCATCCACATGTTTATAGCAATGGTCATATCTGCCTATCAATACTGACTGATGATTGGTCTCCGGCACTAAGTGTGCAAAGTGTCTGTTTAAGTATTGTGTCAATGCTAAGCAGTTGCAAAGAAAAGGTAAAATATTCATTTGTTTGTGTTTTGATAAAGCATTAATGAAAACTATTTACACCGTAGAAGAGGCCACCTGACAATTCATTCTATGTATCAACATGTAGCAAAAATCCAAAGAAAACAAAGTGGTGGTATCATGGTAAGTATTACATTATATATGTGACTTGTGCAATTGAATAATTATTATTTTTTTTTACATTCCTTTTACGAGTAACAATATATAAAAATCTTGAATATTTTAATAAACATTTGCGTTTAAAAACTAGAATTACCCAGCATTTACTTTTGTGTTTGAACAGATGACAGTGTGTAACATCAACTGCTAAAATCATTAACACCTTGTCAATGTGCAGTTATTGCTGGATCAAGCGGAATGACATGTTTTGTGTCTTTAATTATTGTCTACATATAAATATTAATGTCTGTAACTATTGAAACTTTCATAGATGAAATTTGCTGAAGTAACTTTATCACGTATTAAACAAATTAGGGGCATAAGTTAGAAGAGAAAAAAAAAGCAAAGGCTGCATATTTACTTATTATTACAATAAAGAAGCAATGTAAAATGCGTGAGTTATCCGGTTATAAATTATTATGATGTTATTAAGAATTTATATATTATCCCACAGTTGAATAGAAAGAAAGAGAAATGGCATAGACTACAAAAACGCGGATGCCGAAGCGTATGGTGCACATAAAATATTAATACACGATAAAAGCGTTTTATTATCTATGTAGGAAGTGCGCTGTAAAATGATATCAGATTAATATATTGCAGTAATCACTATTACTAGTATAACACCAAAAATATACAATGTTATCTCACTTGTTACCCCATTTATTTAACATTTGTCTTTTACTGTAACATAAAAACAAAAGGTAAGCGATTATTTTGAATAGATTTCGTGATGTGCAGTCATGATTCGAATATGCAAGTATTTGTTTATATAAATCAAATGTACATTTTAATTTCGTTTACATCTCATTATCGTGACAACAATAAATCGCTAATTATCTATTGTTTCAATCGAGATAAGTACGGTGTTAAAATCGTTGAAATGTATTCTTACTGATAAATAAAATTCAAGCTTTTATAGAACCGCAGTCGAAAAATTCATTATAAAATGTTCTAATATCTAGTTTAGTTACATAAATATTTAAATGAATATATGTTTATATGCATGTAAATATGTACCTCAATTAATTTTGCAATTTATTTAGACATATGTACTTAGTTGGTACTCCGAAAAATAAGAAATTAACAAAGTTGCAAATAAAAGAGCATGTGAAAGTAAAACAAAATTGCAAACGAAAACACTTGAGTGTCAGGCAATAAAATTACTTTAAAATGTAACGAAATTATAGAGAGTTGAGTTTTCTATAGATTTTTAAAGCAAGTAATCCATTTTTGAATTATTAAAAAAGTTGCAAAGAGGGGGGGGCAGCAGTAAACATTTGAGTAAGATTGGTTAGGTTCTACTAGCCTAACTTGTCCTTTCAAAGTGTATATCACGAAATCATTCAAAGAAATCAGGAAACCTGATAATGTTATATTGAAAATAATTTGTTGAAGAAACAATGTCATAAAGCTTTGTTCATATATATTTAAGGATAACTTCAAAATACGCCGAAATAAAAGTGTACTTTTTTCGAACACTATGATACTTCGGTGTATAATACAAAACTCAGTGTCATTGGTGTATTCAAATAAGTTAAAAATGGCTGCGTACCGAACAATTAAAATGCTCGGCGTATAAATTCAGTCAAAATAATAGATCGAGGGAATTTAGGATAGTGTTTTACAATGCATATCAGAATGAGTGTGCGTACGAGAAGAATGATTTGCTGCGTAATAATACTGTCACTATGTGTTTTATATTTGTATACAAATCGAACTTTGTATACGAATGTCCGTGATAGAAATGTTTCTTTGAAGCTTCTGCTTGCTGCTGCTATAAAAGCAGCCGAGCTCGGTGGTTCTGAAGTTATAGCAGTTCACGATCAAGTTAAATTTGAGATAGAAAGCAAAGGAAAAACGAAAGAAGGTAAGTAGTTTCTCCATCTATTATTGTAATTTGTACAAGTAAAGACCATTGATAATCTTCTGTTTAACTTTGAAAGGTGTCAATGATCCAGTAACAGAAGCAGACTACAGATCCCATTGTGCAATGTATCACTCTCTGGTAGAAGCATTTCCAGGTATAACAGTAATATCCGAAGAAACATCAAAAGACTGTGATAAAGTTACAGTGTCTGATATAAAAAACTCTGTTAATAGTTTAATCGATTATCAGATTACGGATGAAACTGTGAATGCGAATGACATTACAGTTTGGATTGATCCCCTTGATGCAACAAAAGAATTCACAGGTGTGTTTGTACTACATATCTGCATTTTTTATTCTTGGACTATGGGCATTTGTGCAAATTCATAATTTTAATGTTTCAAGAACGGGCAATGAATAAAGCCTTCATTGAAGGTTTTCTTAAACTTAAAAGATCGTGTAATCCTTATGAAAGTTGTCTGATTTAAAATGTTAATATCTGTTGTTTATTAATCCTTTCTAATTTAGAAAACTTGTTGCAATATGTGACAACTATGGTTTGCGTTGCTGTCAAAGGAAAACCTATAATAGGTGTAATATATAAGCCATTTGAAACCAAACAAAACTCTAGTCTCTTTTGGACATGGACAAGTCATGCAGTGTCACGAAATTTGCAAGTTCTTCCTAAGGTAACAAACCAAAAAATTATTCAGATAGATGCATTAAATGGTACTTTTTGAAAACTAGCTGGAAGATGATAGAACACCAGTCTTAATTGTATCACAATCACATGCTGGACAAGTTCATAATGTTACCAAAATTGCATTTGGTAAAGGTATTGATATTGTCTCTGCAGCTGGTGCAGGTAATATTTATGATTACTTTGATACTTCAATTTGTTGTATTATAATCATTAATTTATATTTTTCAATATACATTTAGGCTTCAAGTTTTTAGAAGTTGTAAGTGGAAATGCAACTGCCTACGTTCACATAACAGCAATAAAAAAATGGGATATTTGTGCAGGCACTGCAATTCTTACTGCTCTTGGTGGTACAGTCACACAATTGTTTGACCAGCAAATTATAAGTTTTGGTCCCAGCGATTCCAGAGTACTTACATTGGGTCTTCTAGCTACTATGAGTAATCATGCTTGGTATTTAGACAAATTCTCAAATATTTAATGCAATGTACGGATTCTTAAATGTAAATTGAAAACACCCAAATTACTCTTTCTGTAAAAACAAATGAATCTTCCATATTGAAAGATTTAATACGAAAAGAAAAACAATTGAAGTGAACAATTCAGAAACGTTTATTTACAAGTCTTCCTAGATAGATGTGTTCTGTTTGTATTGTAAACAATTATCATGGTATTAATTGTTGAATTCACTGTATTTTATGGACAATCATTCATACATTCTTAATTGTAAAAGTCGCGATGTCAATACATTTTAATCAATGTATTTTGTTGAAAAGACAAGCAGGTAATATTAAAGTGTTCCTTGTATAATAGTATTTTGAACGTTCTAAATTTATCCACGATAAATCCTAATTGACAATAATCATAAATAATAGCAACGCATGAATTTTTATTACACTGTTCCTCAAATTAAGCTAGTTTCACTTTCTCGTCAGCAATTAATATACCCGGCACTTTCTTTAGTTTTTTATTAAATTTTGCCAATGCCTTCTCATTAGTTATTTTATGTGAACAGAAGTTCATGAACTGAGAAGTTACCTTTTTCTGTAATTTCTTTAAAGAAATTTCCTCTTTGCTTTGTACTATGTGTAGAATAGTACCTTTCCAATCGAAAGCTGACTTCTCATTGGTCTGTTCTTCGTCACATTGAGCAACCAACGATTCGGAAAGTACACCATTTTTAGTTTTCTTCTTAGGGACTATTTCCTCAGTCTGATCATCTGAAGCAATGCTTTTACGCTTTTTCTTCAACACAGGTTCCGCTATTTGTTCTTCCACTGTTTCTGATATTTTTCTCTTCTTAGACTTATTTTTCTTCTTACTAATACTATTTGGAGTATTAATCTCGGCATCATTGTTACTCTTATTTTGATCATCATTCTGATTTTCTCTAGATATATTTTCATTATTTTGATTTTCAATGATATTATTCTCTTGGTGTTCACTTACATTGTGTTCCTCGTCTACTTTATGATCTGCATTGCCTATGTGCATTTCAGGTGTAGATGTTATAAACAATCGTGTGTTTTAGATTTTGATAAAATTGTAACAAGTAATGCTTACCATTTTGTTGCTGCTGCTGCTGCTTCTCTGCTGCAGTTTGTACATTATTTTTATAAGCACTTTCCATTTTGTCCCAGACACTATCTACTATTGCTGGATTTGCTCTGTGGCCTATGGCACTTTTCACAAAATTTAAAAATCTAGCTTTCTTCCTTGGAATATTTTCATACTTTGACAACATATTTAGAAAACTTCGCTCAGCATTTGTTAAATTTGTCACACTGTTCAGTATATTGCTAACAATGTTAATCCATTCTTGTTGCTTTCGTTCCCCCTTGTTTGCTCTAGCCTTTGGAACATAGTCCTTTCCTCCGTATCGTTCAGCTTCAGTTATGCACTTTGTGTGTGCTACATACTCTTCTCCCCTAAAATTAATAAAAGACCCAAGCTATGTTAATATAGACTCATATGTTTCACAATACACCCATACCTCGCTTTACGGCTTAGATACGTTCCGGAGAAGTTGGCCGTAAAGCGAAAAGCCGTATAACGAATCAATTATTTGATACAAACCCATACAAATTCAATTGAATCTGTTCCAATTTTTTATAAAATAATATAGTTTTTAGTTCATAAAGCATTTTTTCTTTTTATTTCCTATAAAAATGCATTTTTTTTGGCCGTACGACGAAACATTGTGGGCCGTAAATCGAAAAAATGCCATAATTAAAAAAGGCTGTTATAGCGAAATGCCGTATAAAGAGCGGCCGTATAGCGAGGTATAGGTGTACATTAGATCAGTATCATATTTGTACATACCGGAAATCTTTAAAACAATCGACGCACGTTAAAAAAGGTGCAGTACGACACTGAAATTCGTAGTGTTTTGCAACCTTTGGCTTCTGTAGCGTTTCTCCGCAATGGTTACAAGTAAATACCACCATTTTTTTTTATACTACCTTACATTAAAGTTACAAAACTTAATAGTATAATAACAGAAATAAAATGGAATAAACAAAAGTTGTTTAGTAACCTATAAATTGTGTGAAAACGTCACGGCGGTTAACCTTAACGTTTCAACGTGTCTAAATACACACGTGTGAACACTGGACTGTTACGAAACTTAAATTAATGTACCCGACTATGTCAGCGCCATCTTCCTTGAATAAAAAATTATGAAATGAAATTTAATAAGTATTTATAGGTACGTGCTTTTTTGATGTCAAAGTACTAATTGAAACTGCCGCGTTTCCCAATAACAATTGTTGCATTTCTTAATTGATAATCCATTATATATTAAAACACGCGTTTAAAGATTATGATGGCGCTATCTAGCAAAAAGATTATAGTACTAATTGACTAGTAGTTTACGCATTTTGCCATAGATAGTCTTTTCTTCTGTGAAAAAGTGGGGTCATAGAGCCCCTGGCCGAAGATGGCCGAAGCGGTCGAATGGGAGCGAGCGAGAGCGGTAGAGCGAGCCGCGGTATCGGTGCTCTCCGTCTGTGTCGACGCATACCGAACGATGCCGAAGATGGTCGGAGCGGGCGAACGGGAGAGAGCGAGAGCGGTAGAGCGAGCCGCGGTATCGGTGCTCTCCGTCGGTGTTGGAGGAATTTCAAGGGTCTATGGGGGGAGGTGTGCGAGCGAGAGAGTACGGTAGAGCGTGCCGAGTATCGGTGCTCTCCGTCGATCCAACGCGCTAGTGAGTTGCGTCACCCAGTTTATTGACTTAGCCGTGTACGCCGTGTACCAAGGTCGTACCATCCCGTGCAGGTCTGTGCTTGCTTCCTCACTTTCTCGTGAACCGTCGCGGAGGGTGGTCGCGCGTCTCATACTCGTCTTTTCTCTTGTTACTAACCCATTGTTTGTTGCAGGCATTCGACAACCATCAATTTATTTACTGTGCATATTATTAATTTATTTACTGTGCATATTCTTGTGTCCCCTCTCTTGTTACTAATCCCTTGTATGTTACAGATGTTCGAGAACCATTGGCTTCGATATTTATTTTCTTGTGTACTGTGATTCATTTACTCTGATTTATTTACTCTGATTTCTATACTGTGATTTATTTACTGTGTATATTATTAATCTATTTACTGTGCATATTGTTGTGTCTCCTCTCTTGTTACTAATCCCTTGTATGTTACAGATGTTCGAGAACCATTGGCTTCGATATTTATCTTCTTATGTACTGTGATTCATTTACTGTGATTTATTTACTGTGCATATTATGTATTCTATGTGTATTGTATAATGAAAAATATTTTTCCAAACAGTTATTCCATCGAAAGAAGACATCGATCAACGTCTACATCTTCAAAGCGTGCGTCTACCACTGCGTTAAGTTACTGTAAGTTAAACTTAAATCATAATTCGATATTCATTGTTATATTCATATTCATCATCACATCGTTTATTATTAATTTTAGTCTATCTATTAATAGACTTAAATTGTGATCAGCCATTGTGCATACCAAGTTATTATTAATTCATTTTGCTCGTTGATTTCTCTACACAGACTTGGGGTATGGGCAGTGGGTCTGTACCTATTATGGTACGGGCAGTGGGCCTGTGCACTAAGACTGTTTGCCGATCCCTCTGGTTTCTATTGAGAAGCCAGATATCGGACGTGTTTAGTCTTTGCCTGGTAAGTAGGATTTGGAGTAAAGGCTCGTGCGCGCCTGGGTACAACGTACCCGCCTACGGAGTAGACGGGAGTCTGCTCCGTAAAAGGACTCTGTTTTACAGGGGATCTCGCTTGCACTACCATGCTTGGTCATGACCTGTGCTCGGGTCTGGTACGTAGGTGACCAGCCCAAAGGGCCTGGAAAGTGAGAGATGGATTCGGGTTTGCGAGGTTGCGCCCGTCTTTCCTATTTTCTTAAACCAGGTTCTGGCGACAACACTTTCATCGCGATACTTGTTCATACTGTAGTTTAACGTGGTTCATCGTAGAATTAATTTTTGGCTTGGTATATTAGGTGCGTAAACGAAATGATCGATGGAACTTTTTCCATTCCGTCTATCTCTTTCGTTTGAGTATTAGCGACTACATTGCGTTAAATTTGTTATTTCGTATTACTAGCATTAATTCGTATTAATTAGAATATTAAGATAATATTAGTTCTAAGCTGAAGAACGAAGACAACCGACGAGGGAACTTAGTTTTTTATAGGTTTAGGCTCAAGAAAGAAGTCATCCGCCGAGGGATTTTAGTATCGGTAGTATTATATAGTTAAGATTTAAGTAATTTATAAGGTTTATTGTGAAAGGTGGGTAGATGTAGAACTTGTGATTCCATCTACTTGTCTTGGGCCTCCACTCGCAGCAACCTCCTCGTGGTGAGGCCTGGGCAATCGGTATTGTCATCGGTAAAATACTGTAAACTGAAGACAATATCGAGCCAATGGCTGCGAACTTCGAATATATCTCATGAAACTACGTTCTATATTACATCGTACTAGGATTATTTTAGAAATCGATATGAGATTCAAAGTGTAAAAATGTCTAGTACTTTGAATGTTTTAGAAAATTATTCGAGTTAAAAATGCATGGAACTACTGAAAATTACTTTACATTCCCTTTCCTTATTATGTAAATTCTTTGATTGGAATATGAATGTTGGTGGAAGTATGAACATTTTCACAGGACAATGATATAAATGAAACTTTAACACTTTTTTAAGTGTTACAGTGATAAGTTACTAATCTCTTGTATGTAACAGTTGCTTGTTGATTCTCTACACAGACAGAGAAAAAGTTTTTTTAAAAATTTTTTTAAATGGAAATTTATCGATCGACGGTTGACTGGTTTTTCTCCTTGACAATAACTGTTACAGCTTTTGGAATAGAATATTTGGCTTACATTAATTCGCACCAAATTATTTTACAATAAATTAAATATTTTCGATAATGTAATATCGATGTGATGGGAGCAATTTTAGATTCCGAGGGAGCAAATCGGGAGCAATTTTTTAAGATATAAATTGTTAAGAAACACTAATATTCGGCGCCAACTATTTTTCGGTTCTGCTGACACATATTTCTCAAACAACAGCCTGCAATAAACGAGCTCCTACTGTATATCTTGTTTGTACCGAATGATACGGTTAATGATATTATTATTTCATCGGTATTGAAGTTTTCTATTATGTCAATATGATTTTAGGATATCACTGGTAGATGGAGTACACTATCACAGTTTTTAAACCGCGTTTTAAGTCATTTTTATGAATTCTTAGTTTTTATAGAGCAAAATTAAAAGATTTTGCGTTCTATTTCTTCATTAATTTATTTCATTTCTCGTTGATAGTTTTTCGTATCTTACAGTTAGTACACTTTCAATATTATCAATCATAATAATAGTTTAGCTCTTCGTAAAATATATATATATACGAAATCGAATCATCCTAAACATTTTTTACATATTGCCCCACAATACAGACAAAACTATTATATGTATAAGCTTTTATTAAATATTACTTTTTATTTACATTATTCCCGACATAATTGTCTCCTCTGTACAAGACTGCTCCGTTTATATCTCGACGTCGGTCGACACAGGATAATCATCCTAAAATATATAACTATATATTTCCTTTTTTCCACTCTACTAATCGTCATTACGAAATAAACAGAATGGAAAAGTTAACAAGAACGCGTACTTTCCTCCGCAGAGACTGCGGCGGCGTTTGACTTATAGTCAAACCATAAACGGTTAATTTCTGATGGAATTAAGAAAATTAAAAGGTTACTCTTCACGAGTGCCGCGCCTCGCAACTTTGTTTCTGATCGGTATACGTAATGTTTTAGCACGAAAAAACTAGGCGACGAATCATGCAAAAATTTCATTTTCTTTTATAAGATAATTTTAAAACATTTACTGCGTCCGTGTATCTCACTCCAAGGATCAATTGAGTCAATTCTGACAAGCGGTTTGACTACCATCGTGTCGAGACAGAAAAGTTACATTCAAATTTGATCGAGTTTAAATGCTGGTGAAATTAAAAAAAAAAAAAACTATTCTTTTGATCCGCCTTGTACAAAAATAACCTGAACTCGGTGTGCCGTTCGACCAGTGCAACATGATTGGGGTAAACATATAAGGTGTTTCGCAAAAAAGCTTTTATTTACATTTCTTGTTCCTCGTTCGTTAGCGCTATTAGTTAATCTAAAATTGCAATTAAAATCCCACAAAAAAATCGATCGCATTCACACTGATCACCTTTGCTGTGGAATGTTTCACATAATAAATACAGCTTTTTTTCCATTTCTTCACACGACATAAATTAAAAACAAGTGTTGCATTTACAACTGAGAACGATTTTACGAATGTGTGTGTGTGTGTATGTGTGTTTTGTCGAAAGAACAAATGCAGTGACATTCCTGAGAGCCGCGCCAAGAGTGTGCTCTTAGTTGGTATTTTTGTAGAAATTATTTGAATACGTGTATATTCACAATTCTTTAATTTTCGCTGACTACATATTTTTATTCGTGTGTTAAAATCGTGTACTATTAATATTTAGCAAAAAAAACCGACAACAGACGGAACCATAAGAATGAAATTTACACTTAAAAAATCGTTTCACAGAATTTCAGTGTTCATTCAAAATTTAAAACAATCAACGTATATTAGAAGAAAAATATACCATTTCGTAGATAACAATCACCTTTGTCGTTAACTGTAGTAATCAACGATACTGACTAAAATCGAGTCTTATTTTTTTTTGTCATGGATTTTTATTATTTCTTATTTTGGATGAATCATTTTTCTTTGTTCTTTTTTTCTTTTTTCCTTGATCCGTTCAACACATAGTGCGACAACATTTGAGTCTATTGTGTTCCAAAAATGTTCTGGTAACACTAAACATCCTACACTTTCCCACGAAGTCACTATATTTATTCCATCAATTATTTATTTGACTGTTGTGTACGTGTAGGCTGTGTGTGTACACTAGTGAACGTGTGATTTTGTACGTGTGAATTCCCGGTGTGGGGGTGGGTGCGTATTGGATAGAATCTGCGTCAATTCTATCGCAACGATATTTAATAATATCTACTCACGACGAGCCCGTATACCTTATTTACAATGTCCATATAAACATATACACTGCGTTTGACCGCTTAAACCTATTATCGATATACGAAGTTGAAGAAGGTAGAAAGTACTATTTTGTACGTTAGGTTCTGGTGGATAAAAACAGGAAAAATGAAACGCGTACAGACGAATTTTGTAACAGACCGTGGATGTAGATGCCTGTGTTAATTTACATTTTTGTAGAATATTTCACAAAAAAAAAAAAAAACGAACAGACAATAGTGTATAATAAAAACATAGGCAGACGTATCAACGAATCATTCAACCTTACATCCACTGTGAAACTACCGTCGAATGTGGTATTTTACAATAAATTTAATAGCTTTTTTTTTAATCCAGTGTCGATCGAACAGGACTCTGCGACAACCAGGTTCTGATGTAAGGTAATTCATTCGTTAATTGTTCACGTGCAAGTAGTTTTCATTCAGCCAAGTACACTGTCAAATACACTAATTAAATGGAACACACATCGGTTCAAGTGCACAGCCCAACACAGGAACGTTATTTCTGTTTCTATAAAATTTCTTCTTTAATCGCGTTTCGACCATCGCTGCTATATAAGTACGCAGACATCCGCGGTCTAATAACGAAACATCACGGTAGATTAAAACAAAGACAAGGAAGAAAAGAAAAGAGGTGTGGGGAGTTGAGAAGGGGATTAAAACGAACTAATGCTGGCCTGTGTGCGAAGATCAATCCTTCGTGGTCTCCGACGCGGAGAGGAAACATCGTTACGTGCTTGGTTCGCCCGACATACTAGATTCGTTTAACAGAAATCGCTGATATCCGTCGCAACGAGCGAACGACAGTGGTATCGCCTACCCCGGCTACACCGACGTAACTTAATATATATTTAACAAGGGAATCCTTAATCGAACCTTAACCGCTAAATAAATCTTACAATTGGACTGAGTGATAAATTATTATCGACTGTACAACGCCGTAGTCTTTTTCTTCTATTCTCCTCCGTTTTTATTCTCGCTTAAATCGTTTGTCAAGCTCTCCGACTCTCACTCTCTTTCTCTCGACGCGGAATCATCACACATCCCCGAATTATCGTCGAATCGCGGGGATCAGATAGATTTTCTCTCGCGTGTATGCGCGGATGCCGTGCTTCGTTTGGACCACGTGAACATGAGGTTTCCACTAGTTACATCTTATTTTTTCTCCTCTTTGTTTCTTTTTTTTTATTCATTACAAAATATACTTCCTCTTGTCGATCAGGAGAAGCGGTCTAGAGGGGGATCATCTCGAGGAAGATGAAGTGTATCGGTGTGTACACAGGGTGGTGTGATAGCAACGCGACTAATTCGAATCCGTACGGTGCGTTTCACTTCGGAGAGGGCGAACTCAACGAACAAGAACAGGAAGGAACTGGGAAACATTTTCGATGAAACGTGTCCCCCGTTCGTGTCGTTAAATTATTCGAACTTCGACTGCCAGGAGCACGAGTAGGATAGTACTGACAAATAATAAAGATACAGTAGAACTCGATGTATCCGATACGGATTAGGGTATGGGGGATGAAACGACGGTTTCAATAACCGGGGACATCTTATGCAGATTACAATCACAGGTTACAGTGGCTCCTGTAATCGAACCTTCGTTCGTTTAAACCAGCAAGTGTTTGACGCCCAAGCCTCTCTTAAGATCAATTTTGACTGTATACATACGTGTCCATCGTTTTGTTTACGCTACCATCATAAATATATATACCACCGATAATCATTTCGTAGTACGAAGGAACGTGACTATACTTGTACGCGTGTGTGTAAAATGTGCCAAAAATTGAACACTGGGAGATACGCACATACACGGTTAAGGATATAACCTAAATACCAATAAAAGTGAAAAATTGTATTCTATATTCCTTATTCGCTTTAGCGTGTAGAATCACCTACTCTTTGGTCATACCACTCGTTCTGTGATGAGCGGTTAGTTTCAGCGATTCAAATATTTATACAGTCAGTGTTCGTGGGGGGAGGGGGTCAGTTAATCGGCCGTTCGAAAAACTATCGTTCGGTTAAATAGAGTTCTACTGTATCCACGATCCCACCGTTGCGTCGTCCCACAAAAATCACATGTTGCACCGATACGTTCCACAGCCGAGTGTTTCTTACTACTCGAAGGAAGGGAAAAAAAAACGAAAGAATGCGCCTGTCCGCTACTGGTCTCGCGAGAGATACAACGTTCGTTAATCACATGAACCTTAATAAGTACCAAGTGCCTAATATAAGGTCAAGAATTCGAGATACCCTGAACTACCCATGTAACGGGGTAGAGGAACTCTGACGCGGAGAGTTCGCCGTATACGTTTTTTTTCTTCTCATTTTCTTCTTCATCTTCGTCTTCACCATATCTTCTTCTTCTTCGCTTAATTGAGAACGTCAAATAAATATCGATGCCATACGGCCCAAGGATTCGTCGGCTCGGACGTGGATGCGAAGCTGGAGAATGCGAATGGCAATGTAGGTATCTATACACAAGGACATATCTTACATAGAATAAGATAAAATTAGTTCTTTAAGGTTTCTTTAGACCGTAGGTCGCGACAGCCTGGAACATCCTATTTATTTCGTTGACGATCGTGAGACACGAGCATCTGTAACAAACCAAAGGGGACAAACGATTAGAAACTGGTCCTTCCATAATGTACAAAGTTGTGGTAAATTACAGATAAAATAAAAATTTCTTTGGGCTTCGTTGATGATATTTCAATTCGAATGTTCTGTGTGTCGATGTATGGTTGAGAATACATTAGAGAAACAAGTAATAAAAAAAAACATACGAATGGAGTGTAGAATTTTGGTTTAAAAATGCAAAATAAGGTAATAGTTTAGAATTCGGTCGGTATCTCGGATTTTCTTCCAACTTTAACTTAAAAAATGTCGCAAACAATTATAAGTATCTTCAATTATCAATTATAGATGATTATTAGTATCCGTTTTTTTTTTTAAATATTAAACGCGCTCTAATCAACTCTGATCAGTACAATGCTTTGAAAATCGGAAATACCAACAGAATTGTAAACCATTTATAAAATAAATTCCGTTTCGTTACCGACGAAAAAACGTTACCTTCTTTTTCATATTAATCGCTATATCCACTTTTTATTCCTGAACTCATAATCACCGCGTTCCTAACCTTTCATAAACCGTTTCATTAAATCAGAATAAACTGCTTCATCTCTTATCATCATTAAGCTACAAAATCCTCGAAACTATCCTCCCCACCTCTCGCGAAAACTAAACTCCGTACTCGCTAATTCATTGTTTCTATTAAATTACATTCACCGCCTCGGGGAACTTTAACCCTCCCCCGGTTAAGTAAACTTTTTTATCAAGTTCCCCGGCAAGATAAAGCGAGCGCGGAATCTCATATAAGATCGTAAAGAACGGGAACTCGTAAGTTTTATTTAAATATCTCCAGCCACTAACGTCGACTAATAAATTAATTGTGAAATAAGAAAATGAAGAAAAACAATAAAAATGTATCGATATTTGTACGTTAAGTATTTATACTGGAATATATATCGCCGCATTAAATATCGATACAAAATATCAATATCTGAATTGAAAGGTATCGATATTTGAAATACCGATATCTGAATTGAAAAGTATCGATATTTGAAATACCGATATCTGAATTGAAAAGTATCGATATCTGAATGGACAAGTATCGATATTCGGAATACCTACAGCTGAATTGAAAACTATCTATATTCGAAATATCGATACTATATCGCCCCGTCACTGTTCTTCCGTGTAACTTTCCAATTACCACGAACTTACCAGGTCAACGGCGGAACAACAAACGCTATCCTGGGCGACGGGGCCGCCCGACTTTACGTGTTGTTGTACAGCTGATGGTGAGGCGGCACCTGATGCTGACTCGGGTGTGGATGCTGCAACGAGTGTTGATGCGGATGCGGATGGGTATGCTGATGCTGCAACGTCGGGTGTCGCGCGTTGAATCGCACGCTGCCGGCTAGCGAGCTGCCGCGCCCGTGGGTGCCGACCATACTAGGCGTGTCGGACAGCTCGTCCTCTTCCGCTCCGAGGCTGCGGAACCTCACGAACCCGTCTTCGGCGACCAGCATCGTCGAGCCCGTGGTCGGAGTCTGCTCGTGCATACCCTGAACCGGCGTGTGCCTGCCGCGGGACTCCGAGTTCCTCAACGTTTGTATACCATTACCGTGCCGGTTTAACGAGCCGCGACCTTCGTGCGGGAAATGGCCCATGGTGCCTGACTTGCGAATGGAATGTCTCTCGAAGGTACCTGGTGACAACGAGAAACGATATTTAGCATACCATTCGTCCTTCTTTTTTTTTTGTGTGTGTGTGTGTACGGAGAAAAGAAATCTCGGTGTTCATATTTTTTTTTCTTTTTTGTGTGTGTTTTTTTTTCTCTCCTTTGTTTCCCCTTATACGGTTCGCTTTTGCGTGTCGTTTTGGTCAGGTGATTTGAATTACCCGCGGAATAATTGCAGAGACGAGGCTGGTCGAACGGGGGGATTCCCTTGGGGGCAAAGTTAACTTAATAGGAGGACATGTCTTCTTTATAAGATATAAGTATGGTTAATAATACCGTACGGTGTATAGATGTAATTTTGTAATAATTATGAATATATTTTAAGTGAATGTCGCGTGTACAGAGTATTGTTCGTTAATTTTTTTTTTATGGACACGTTATCTGAATGATGATTCTGAATGCACAGGGTGTCCCGCGTAACGTGTAGCTACTTCGATATCTCCTTGTTTTTGAAAATACAAAAAAATGCGAGGGGAAAGTATTATCTTTGGTTAAAAAAATGCAAAAATTTTTCTATCGAGAACAAGGTTTAGCACCGGTATCGGTGGTAACGTTAGTCGAATTCACTCGAAAGAATAGTACACCTCGATTCGTCGCGCCTGGGAGGAATCTAAGAATTGCTTATCCAGCGATTTTCAATGACCGTATAACCGAGAGGTGGTCGACACTTCGAGCACCTTCTCAAGACACGAGAAACTAGAGCGACACATTGTTCCACGCGACCTGATTCACGATTTTCCGCGCGACACGATTAAGCAATTCGAGTAATTTAAATATCCCCGTTCGAGAACCATCTTTCCTCTTATAATCCAGTTACGGACACGGTAATTAACAACGAAACAGTAACACAGAATGATACCCCTTTTCATTTTGTTATTTCTACAGAATCGATCCTCAAGTTTCTCGAACAAAGAGTCGATATATAGTAAATTATCGATGAGTGTTCAATCGTCATCCACATTTATTAGGTCTACCGGAAAGTACTGTCCGTTTTTGAATAAACAGAAAATAATACATTCCCGCCACATTTATTAATATTTACTGAACAATATAATTTCCATCGTTATTAATGATCTCTTCCCAGCGTGATGGTAATTTCTGGATTCCCTAATAAATCTATTGAAAATATATTATTTTCATTTAATCCAAAAACGGACAGAACGTTCCGGTAGACCTAACGTATTCCTATCTCCCAGGATATCGCAGGAACCGTCTCGGCGAACCGTATACGAGGGAAACGTTGATTTAGGTCGCAGCACACACACTCAATACATAAACGTTCTTGTGCGCGCACACGTTTCGCCGATACCTGATATGTTCAAATGCTCGGGTAGCGTGTTCAGCGGGAAGCTATCGTCGTAAACCTGTTTCCCGGTTCTCATCGTGTAATTCTGGATCGCCTGGTTGGTGCTGCAAATAGCCGGATAGAGAACGTCGTCCATGTTCTCGGTGGACGTGGAGCTGCCACATGGGAACAACGCGAATCCCGAGTGCACGGTGTGTTGTTGCAGTTGTTTCTCCCTTAGAGGGAACTGCGACAGGCTTGCCACCCAGGCGAGGAGGCCGCATACAGCAAGTTCCAGGAGCCTGACAGCGAACTGCCAACCCCACCATAGCCATGGATAGGACAACGGTCGTTCCTGTACGTTCCCGAAGATCCCGTACAGCTGAACGAAACCCATCAGTATGAAGAACACCGCGGTGGCGATACTGGTGGTGATCGCTGTGCTGAGCGCCACGGTTGTTGGATCGGCACCAACCATGTGATTCGCGCCTGCTGCTTTGTTGCTGGTCACGTGGATCTGCGAGCGTATCACACGATACACGTACATGTACCCAAGACCCAATGTGACGCACACGATGATGTAGATACACTGACAGATCAACGGAAGTATCTTCGCCTCGTCCTGATAACCGAGCACGTGGGTGGAGACGTGCAACGAGACGCATAGCACCATGTTCACCGTGGAGGATAGCACCAACGAAGCAGGTGATAGGAACCGATTGTTCAACGGTGGGGCTTCCGAGCAACGTGCCAGATAGAGGACAAGGGTAGCAAACGCGGCGGACAATAACGGGCCGGGTAGATACATCAGAACCCGCGACAACGGCTCGGGCAACGAATGGCCGAGATTGTACGCGTCGTAGAACAGATGAAAGCATCTCAGCGTGCAGACGGTGGTAAGCAACAGATGAACAGCTAGGAAGTACGACTGGGTGAGCAGATTCGTTGCCTCGTTGAAACGCACGATCTTGTAGATCGAGTAGAGTGCCATCAGGGTGAACATGATCGCGGCTACGTAGACGTGCAGAGACCAGGCGATCCTCCATGTGGACTCTAGGGGATGATGCTTGTCGAATTGCGGCACCGTACGATCGTTGCTCTCATTGGGCCTCTTCGGTGGCAGTGGGGCTGGTGGTTGGGGCTGGGGATACGGTAGCCTCTCGGTGTCGACGATCTCGATCGTCTCGGTTTTATACCCGTTCTCGTTCCTAAGCCCGTGGTAACCGTCGTCGTTGTGCCGCCTTGTGTTTGGTAGATTGAAGATCGTCGGTTGGGTGACGGACTTCGAGGAGTCCAGAGTGCTGGACGGTCTGGCCGTTGTGCTGGCCACTGGGGTGGTCATCTTCTCGGTGGTAGGCACCAATGGGACGTTCTGCTGTGGGCTTTTCGTGGCCAGCGGTTTCAGAAGAATATCGGGGACTTCTTGCTTGCGACCGTTGCTACCCGAGAGTATTCTCGATATGCCTGGATAGTGATGCGAGTGGAGAAACTCGTTCGTGTTGTTCCTTCTGTCCAGCTCGCTGCTTGGCTCAACCACGTTCTGCTCTTTGCTGGGTGTGTTGAGCAATGGTTGCTTGTTCCTCGAGTGCGAGTGTCTCTCTGGTATTTGGGACGGACCCTGTAGGTCTGGAGGCCTGATTGGTATTCTTTCGTGAGCCGGAGTACCGCTAGGTGGCGGTACTGGTCGCTTCAGGCCCGAATGAGCGTCCGAGTTCGTTCCTCGTAGGGTTGGCTTGTTCGCGAACGGATGCAAATATTCTGGGGGTAATGGTGGGGTGAAGAGGGCACGGGACGGGGGCGCGTAAGAGGGTAACTCGCGAAAGGCTGGCGCCATGGTCGCTCTAGGAACAGGATACCTGATCGGCGGCACTGACGGGCTCGCCGTTGTACTGGTGGTTGTGGTGGTGGTGGTGGTGGTTGTGGTAAGGGACGAGGGCACCGTGGACAGGGTTGTACTCGCTGACACTTGGGCGTCATAAGCGGGCACGCTTCTTTTCGTGGTCGCTGAACTGTGCGCCACTTTGTTGAAAATAGCCGCCAGGTTCTTCTCGAGCGCGGTGTTGTCCAGATTGAAGATCGGACTGTTCGGTCCACCATCGCTGCTCGATGAACAGACGGCCGTGCAGGACAGTGACAACAGCAACGTCACAAGGAGAGGACGCATCATCGGGGTCATGATAACTCACGTGTGTAGCCGGACCACGCGGGAGAAACGACGACGAACAACTCAGCCGGGCTACGGTTCATTCCATAACCGGTGGGATGTGAAGTTGCGCGGTGGTCTGGTCGGTTCCTGGAACCGTTCACGCACGTTTAGGGTTGCACTCTAAATCGACACGGAGTAAGGACACTTGGTGAAGACTTGGTGTCGTGTCTATCTTCTCCTAACGAATCCCCTATGAGTTTCCTTCGTTACCTCTTGGAGGTAATCGAATCGTCTGGAGAGTCTCTTTTAGCTTGGTTCCGTATAGATATATGTATACTTAACTCCGAATATTACATTCCTAAATGTAACGAGTTAGTATCTACGTTTCCCTTCGATCGGTGGATCGTATGGGCTTATCATCGGCATCTGTTGCATTTCCCCGTTTCGGTTCGAAGGGTGAGTGCAACTACTGTATCACTGGCCTGATATCTTTGGGAACGGTTTCGCGGTCGATTTCGCCTCGGCCTTTCGAACCCAGTTGAATTCCTGTCGAACGCTCTGGATTCCAGGTGTCTGTGTGTGTGTATAGTATATATATATATATATATATCTTGACGGGCTGAGTTAGCTATCGGTTTCTACATGTTTTTCGTGGGCGTTTTGAACTTCCAACGATTTCGCTGATACACAACACACACACACACACAGCAGTAGATGGGGACGATTCTCGTTGTTGCGTAGGGTGATGGTGGGGGGGGGGAGGTGTTACACGTTCCACGTGCGCCACGATTTTTCGTTGTGTCGGTTCGCTTCCGTCGACAGAAGAAGAACTATTACCGTTCCAGGTGGTGCGCTTCCATTATATCATCGGGGATTCGATGAGCCATAGATTACAGAAACTCTCGGATTTTTAAAACCTATCTACACTTGTTCACGGACGATACGAAAATCGTCGCGGCAAGCTTGTTGCTGGCCGAGGTGGCGGCGGCTTAATCCGATGTCATCATTGCTCGAAGCCATCCCCAGATTCGCGGGAGCCTCGGGCGAAACCTGAATTCCTGGGGGTACATTTAACGTCCCGGGGAATCAGTCCTAAGCAGTTCCTTTTGAATGGGATGCCTCCGTGGTTACACCGCGTCCATTCATTTCTCCCCTTTCCAACTGGAACACTTGTTTGAGTGTGCGTGTGTGCCTCCCACCTTACAGCTGCCACCTCCTCCTCCTCCTCCTCCTCTTCCTCCAGCTTCTGGCCAGCCGTATGTGTGTGTGTATGTCGCACACAAGTTCCGGAACACCTGTGAAAAATGTTTCTTGTTAATTCCTTCGTTGTCCCAGCACGGTGATTGACTGAAGAGTAACGGGCACGGGGGAAACGCTCGAGGAAATTGTACGCAAGATGAACAGGGACGCTGTGGGATCGGGATTGATGAACCGGGATTCGAAGATTGATCCTTCCGGTTGACAGTTGACGCGGCCCACCGATTGAGCTATCTCCCCACCGGCGGGGAAGATGGACGGAATTGTTGCTTGGACGGAAAGTCTCGTAGTAATCAATGGAAAATTGGAAATTTCGGTGAGAGACTGTTCTCGTGCGTTTTGAACCCCATGGCGGGAAATTTGAATCGATGTTTGTGAACACGGTAGATAAACTTGTAACGTTTTGGTAATATACAAGGTGTCTCGTTTTCGTGTGACCCTCCGAATAATGTTATACTATATTACGTTAAATTGTACTATATATTTAGTATATTACTATATTAGATTATTTCATTTTGTATACATTCAGTGCTGGCAATTCTAGTGTTAAAAAAGATATTCTGGGGGTTACACTGAACTTGAGACACTCTGTATATCGGCAACGGCGAAATGTAAAATATACCAGCGAATTATTTTAATGCATGTAAAGTACGTGTCTCTACATGGTGATTTATAGAATGCCCATTTGTTTTAAACCAGGAAAGTTAAACACGAAAATACAGCGACATCTGTGTCCCAACGTTCGTTCGATGATCCCCAATTATATTTCACGTCATTCGACGAATTCGAACAAAGGAAGACGCGAACGTGGAAACGTTGAAAACGTGTGCTCATTTTCGAGTTATTAAACGACTGCAAAAGAGGTTCCCGGGGCCAATAGGGGATTATCGCTTGGCGCGAATAAGCGGGTCATAGAGCACAGAAATTAAAGATCGGGGAGCCCAGGTACTGAATGGGGCCGCGGGAAATGTAGGTCCCATTGAAACTGAGCTTCCTGGAGTACACGGAACATAGATAAGACACGTAAAGCCAATACGAAGTAAGGAACCGTGTGGCAGTCCCACTTAACAAAGTAACGCAGCGTGAATATCAGGTAATGTACGGTCTCAGTAAAATTGTATGAAAAAAAAAAAAGGAATCTACGTCAGACATTCTACTGAATACAGTCTGAATGTTTACGCAAAATTACACGTTTCTATAAAGAGCAACTGAAGAGAATGACACTTTCTTATTCCCATGAAGTGGTTTTTTAAATTACACGTAAAATGAGGATTTTACCGAACATAAGTAATTCCACGCGTAATTATTGCAAATTACACCCATTGTCTGGCCATCTAGAATCTAGAACACAACACACGATATGTAGATAGGACGACTACACGGCATAAGGCACCACCTTTCTTTGATAAGTCTAACCTAAAAATAAGTGTACACAGCCCGTCATAGCCGCTGGTGTTGACAAGACATTCGATCCGGGGGCGGTGAATATTTGAGAGAAAAAAAAAAAAGAAAGACGTATTTTAACGTAAACAATCGATCCGGTAAATTGAGACACACACCGGGGCCGCGTGAACGCATTAAATTTCAGGTATCCGAATTACACGGAAGCCGTTCAAAACGCGAAAGCCTCGGGCTACAGAGAAACGAGAGGTTATAACAGGAAATTGTCCGATCGGTTACAAGGGATAATGCGTGGGTGAGTCGATCCCGTTGTATGATGATTCCCAGTCATCATCGATCTCCAATTATACTAAATCCGCGTTTGACGAGGAAAGGACGGATTTAATAGAGACGCGATTTTCATTTCTCCGAATTATCGTCGGCAGCTACGCGCGTTCCAAATGGCCGCGATATCACCAGACGGCTACGAGGAAAATCGCCGGGGATGTACAAAACAGTGCATAATGCGGGATTTAACTTGGTAATCGATGATTAACGTGCCGCATGGGATTATGCCCAATCACGTGTAAGCACGGGAAAATCAGTATCGCAATAAACAATGGGACTAGGAGGCCCTCTGTCGGTAGAACAGATCACAATGAGCTTTTCAATTCACATCCATGGGCGCAACGTCGAACCTGTGATATTGTCGGTTATAATTGTCGAATAAAGGAATGGTAAACAATATATAATATAACAGATGTTTACTGTAAACTTTGTTTTGTAATAGCTGGACGTTGATAGGGGTCATAACTGACAGAGAATAGATCTCAACAAGATTTTGTCATTAGTTATTTACATAAGTATATATGTATAGTAGAATACCATAAAAATACGATAAAATTCATTTTTGTATAGAATTTTGTACACAGCATGGTCTTTGTTGCAGTAAATGTAGAACTTTTATCGGGAAAGTGTTACCCATAGTTACAGTGCTGTTTAAGGTTATGTCTTTTATTAGTCTACCTTGTATCCAACAAATTTACTTCTAATATTGAACTATATATTTAAAAATTTAAATAAAATGGACAGTTGTTTAATCCAGTTTCTTATACATTATAACGTAACCTCAGACTGATTTATGCGTGAGCAGTGGTACGGGGTGAAAATAGATACGCGAGAATTGTATTTCGTGGAAACAAATCTGACACGTCAACGAACTGTTCCAAGAACTGTTTCGCGTTTCTATATATTGCACAGTTTATGGAGATTCTTTCTGATCTTTCCACGAAAACCAGGCTTACAGAGAGAAGTTTTCCAGATCGGTTTAAATGCCAGAAACCGATAAAGATGCGTATAGCTAATAACATTGCTTTTTTTAGAAAAAAATAAAACAGTTGCTCCGTTGTAACAGTGGCGAATCTAGCAGCGTTTCACGACTAAAAGGTGATACAAGTGTCATTCATAAATCCAAATCAACGTAAAAGTTACTTAAGAGAGATACAAGGATATAAATATATACTTTTCGTAACCACCATCTGCATCGAAACTTGAAAATTCGATTCAATACATGTGTGTGCGCACATAGCTTTCGCAGTTAGCTTGACGCGCGTACGGCACGATCAGCTTTTAAAAATCTAACGCGTGACGTATACTCCCGCGATTTATGTTCTCCGTCTGTGTAAACGTGTGTGTACTATACACGATAAATATTTGCGAAAACAATTTTTCATGCGACATGGCTTGATGATCAAACCCCGAGGATCGCCCTCGGCCCTTCGAGTAGTGAATGCGCGCGCAGCCTCCGTCGAAAGCTTTAAAGTTCGTGACACAAAAGTCGGCTGATTTTGAAGATTTATATTTTATTTGCGAGCAACTGCAAATAAAGAACGTTACACGATGTCGCTGTTAAAAAAAAAATCACAAACTGTCGAGGACACTCGAACGAGACACACAGAAACGCGTGCAATTGTATTCTCGTAGTTTCGACTTTTTCGTCGAAAAAGCCAGGGTTTACGATAATCACGCAGTGAACCGTTGCAAGGGATTTTTTGTCCTGTAACGTGAAAAAAACATTTTTCAGCTTCGAGCACAGTCGTTTGACGGAACAAAATTTGTTAAAGGAGAACGTGAACAAAATTTATTGCAATTTTTCGCTATCTACGCTCAGTGTGTGTATACATTAACTTTTAGGTTATGATCATGACCCAGGTGTGTGGTTAGAAGTTACAACGAACACAGTATTGGGATACCGATCATTCGATGCACTTGAAGTTAGCTTTCCAACAGAGAGAGACTGCAAGTCGAATGTGTCTAGCAGGACGGATATTCGAAAATTTCGAAGTTTCGGTTCCAGTACTCGAGAATAGTCGGATATCGGAATTCGATGTAAT